CCTATAATGAGGCGATCAGAACTGAGCACAATATTCCAAGTGTGGTCTAACCAGGGTTTTATAGAGCTGCAGTATAACCTCACGGCTCTTAAACTCAATTTCCCTGTCAATGAAAGCCAACACACCATACGCCTTCTTTACAACCCTATCAACTTGGGTAGCAACTTTGAGGGATCTATGGACGTGGACTCCAAGATCCCTCTGCTCCTCCACTCTGCCAAGAATCCTGCCATTAACCCTGTATTCTGCATTCAAATTCGACCTTCCAAAATGAATCACTTCACACTTTTCTGGGTTGAATTCCAACTGCCACTTCTTTGCCCAGCTCTGCATCCTGTCAATGTCCCGTTGCAACCTACAACAGCCCTCCACGCTATCCACAACTCCACCAACCTTCATGTCATCGGGAAACTTACTAACCCACCCTTCCACTTCCTTATTCAAATCATTTATAAAGATCACAAAAGCAGAGGTCCCAGAACAGATCCCTGTGGAACACCACTGGTCACCAAGCTCCAGCCTGAATACTTTCCATCTACTACCACCCTCTGCCTTCTATTGGACAACCAGTTTTGTATCCAGTCAGCCAAATTTCCCTGAATCCCATGGATATGAGTCAAACCCAGGCAAATGGGGGACAAAAATAGAAATTGCTGGAAAAGCTCAGTAGGTCTGGCACCATCTGTGGAGAGAAATCAGAGTTAATGTGTCGGGTCAAGTGACCCTTCCTCAGAATTCAGACAAATGGGATCAGTTCAGTTTTGGAAACCTTGTTGGCATGGACGAAGGGCCTGGTTCCATGCTGAATGACTCTATGATTGTATGACTCAATGACTCTATTAGGAATGTCACATGATTATTTTGAATTTAACGACTGCCAGGTTACCGTGACATAAACTCACATATCATAAAATTTAGGAGAGGTGGAAGCAAATTTTAATCTCAAAATAATGTGCTTCCTTTTGGTTTCCTAAAAGGACGCATTGCTAATCATTGGAATTCTTTTGCAACAGAATTCCCGTGATTATTGTGACATGCAATTAAAGCTTTTTCTTCTGATGATTTGTTATTATGTGCATAGTAACCTTCATTTGACAGGAACAGTTTAATGTTGCATCAGCATCTAACCAGAATGTGGCTGTAGTGTTCCCAATTTATTTTTCCAATTACACAGCTGTCTCCAATGATGATCTTAGGAAACATATGAGAAAAGTGAACATTACAGTTGAGTTCGGTTATCTTAGTCACATGAACAAAGACTTCAGTTTTATTCTCCAACTACAAACTCACATGTTTCACAGAAGTTGGGGAAGTTATCAAAACAAACTTATGCCAGTCACATGCACATCGTATTGTATTTGTCTTTGGCCTTAATTGTTTGGGCTAATGAATCAAAAGGTACTTTTGCATTGATAAGGGTGCTCAATGGGAGATGCAGGGCACTGTAGGTTGTTATCCATGGCAAACTACAGCAACAATTGATATCTAGATAGTGCCTTTAATTAATTTTTATTCATTCATGGGATATAGATATCACTGGCTAGGCCAGCATTTATAGTCCGTCCCTAATTGCCCAGTTGGCAGTTAAGACTCAACCACATTGCTGAGACTGTGAAGTCACATGTAGACCAGGCCAGGTAAGGATGGCAGTTTCCTTCCCTAAAGGACATTAGTGAACCAGATGGGTTTTTACACAATTAGCAGTGGTTACGGGGCTATCATCAGGCTACCTTATAAATCCAAATTTTCACTGAATTCAGATTTCACCATCTACATTGACAAGAATCAAACCCATACCTTCAGAACATTAACCTGGGGTTCTAGATGTCAAGCCCCATAACATTACCACTATGCCACCGTCTCCCTAATGTAATAACACGCTCCCAAGACACTTCACAAGTGCATGACAGAACAAGATATGGCAGTGATCCACACAAAGAGATGTGAGAACAGGAGGCACAAAAACTGGTCGAAGAGGTGGTAATAATATTAATGAGACGATAATAAGATGAGTCTTAAATGTGCATTTTAATGAAGGAAAGCAATGATCTCTCCACCTATAAATTCTGTGCCTGTCTGCCTCTCTCCACTTCACCTGATGAAGGAGCAGTGCTCCAAAAGCTTGTGACTTCAAATAAACCTGTTGGACCATGATATGGTGTCACATGACTTCTGACTCTATGACAGTCAGCATTGGAGATGAGACCAGTATATAAGACAAACTATAGTCACACCTGTGTACCAAGATGTAGTCTATCAAATTCTAGTGTTTAGAGTGGGTTTGCATCGTGAAGGTGTCTTTTAGTTGAAAGGTGTGAGGACCGGGCAGTTCCTTTTCTGTACAGAGTTTCAACAGCAGTTGCCTTTTTATATTCAGTTTCCAACTCCATGTTTTCCAAGCACTCCTTTCCACCGAGGAAACAGTTTTGTCCTTGCAAGGAGCATTTTGGATGAGTCATGGAGATCTGTGTCGAACCTATCTTTTATCAGCTGGAGTAGCCTTCACGGTTGAAGCATAAACATTGAGGTTGTAGACTTGCTCACCGAGCCAGTGTGTTTGATTGCTGATGTTTCATCATCCTGTATACAAACCACTGAAAAACAGAGCCTAAAGTGATGCCAACCACCCCAGCAAACCGAGGCATTGAAATAACAAGCAGGACAGAACACCGACGCTTCACTGGAGGCGCACTGACGATGTTACCCAGCAGGGTGACCAAACGTTTGCAACCAAACACATCGGCTCAGCGAGCATATCTACAACCTCATCCAGAACCTAAGCTACAAATCTTCTCAAAAACTTTAAAGCCTAAATATTGATGAGTTGCAGCAGGTACAGGGATGTGATCTATTCAGAATTCACAGGATGAAAATGTAGTGGCAATAATTTTCTTCACTGTGAGTCAACATTGAAGAGGTATTTTTCATCATATGTTCTACCTGACCCACATTGGGATGGTGTAGCAGCATTATGTCCTGTCAGGTTGCTTTGCTCCCCATAACAGTCCTGGGCCTGTTATATCAATGTGTATTAATTGATAAAGTTGATTGATAAACAATTAGGCAACTAATTGTAGTTATTTTTAATGGTATATACACTGAAAACATGGAAATCATTAACATCCAAATGACAAATATATGACAAATAAAACTCCTAGATAACACAGTGTGGAGCTGGAGGAACACAGCAGGCCAGG